TCTCTAGGTAGAAAATTCCAAGTTGAAGTAGGATTGGACCTTAGGGCCCGGTTTGACTCCAGGTCAAACTAGACCTCTAGGAAAAGTATGAGGGTGTTTGTCAGCTCCCTTTTATCTTCTTACAAACGTGATTGTACACGTGGCTAGTGTACAAAAATATGTATGACACTTATATGAAACTTCTTTATAGTAAAAAAAGAAATTGTATGAAACTTGAACTTGTAGTGAAACATTTCGATATTTTGAAATTGCTTCGTGATCTTAAAAGTGATTATTCCCGCTTTCAAACAAAATCTTCTATTCTCAAATATGTTTTATCTGCTCAAAAAAGTATGAGTTTGAAATGGTAGTTATCTCCACTAAAAAAACAAAAATTTATTTCCAATAATGTAGGATTCATAAAGTAGGTTATTATTTAAAAATAAAAATTGATTTAATCTCTTAAAGTAAATAACAAATTTATATATGAATAAATATCTAATAAAATAATAACCTAAATTTACAACATAAAAATTGGGTGTCAAACAAAATTTATCAAAGTACATGAATAAGCTGCTGGGCTTGTGGATGATTCTAAATGTTGAATGAGATGTCTTTAACAAATACACTAAAGTTGTGTCTAGTACCAATTCTGTTTTTACTTAAAAAATTTTGAATTGATTATCACCGCATGCTCACATCACATTAGAGCTGTAAATCAAGTCATGTCAGGCTTGAGTTTTCAGGCCCACGAGCCAATATGGCATAACAAGATCCAGCATGGTTCACATACATACATATTAAATATTTTTTCAAATTTTTGTCTATTTTATTAATATTTTTTAAATTTTCATTTATTTTTTTGAGTTTTTAAAATATGCCCCTAATGACCTGGCCTGGCCCACGGCCCCTGAGCAACCAGGGCCCGCTTGGGCTCGTGCCATGGGATGTGCCAGGCCGGACCTCTGAAGTATCCAAAAGGAGGCAAGACAGCCCGGTCCAACCCGCAGGCCAGCACAGGCCACCCGTCGATTCACACCACTACATGACATACGAGTCATTTTAGCTAAAATGAATAGATTTCATCCTCCTGAAGCAAGAAAGATCAATTTGACCTTTTAACAAACAGCCTTCCATATATGCATTTTTAAGATACGCTTGATTCAACTATAAATAGCCTCAAAATACAGTTCTATACCTCAACACAAACACAAATTTCTATTCTATCTAGCAAAACCAAAAGCATCTAGCTTTACACACAACCAGCCATGTGCAAAGCAGAATTGACAGAAGAGGGATTGATGCAGCACAGCATACGAACCCATGTTGAGCTGCCACCTTCACTTCATCATGTGTAGACCCATCTTGGGCTGCTTCCTCCATGGATCAATCAGATACATGATGAGGATAAGACTGCAAAGCAAAACTCAACAACTCAAGTTAGGGGTCCTACTTTGTTGCACTCAGATGTGGCAACGACATGACATCGATATGGTTTGTGTTGAGAATTCACTCTAATAATTCAGGATTCAGTCACGACCATGCGTCCCATTTTGAAAAATCCACGTAAAAATAGGCCCCATTTCCTTGACAGTGAAGAATATTAAGAAATGTAGTGGTATGCTTGCTCAGACACTCCAAGACATAAAAACAATTGATTCGACTTCACTGTCAATTTCTCAAGAATCAAATAACCCCATAATAATGCTATTGCTTTAAATACCACCTGATTGCTCATATGATACTGGTTGATTGGCTTAAGTTCTTCCGGTATCATAGTCGAATCCATTGCCTTTTCTATTACCGGCCAAAATCTTGTTTTCCATCTATTGACAGTATTCCCCATAAGGCCTAAACTAACCTGCGTCTATTACCTCCACACAAGTTGGAAAGATAGAAACCCTCCACCCCAAAAATAATAAATAAAATAAAAACAAAAGAAAGAAATATATTCACGTGTATGACTACTATTGCAGACAAATGTTTTCTTGAAGTATTTTCACCGCATTTTCATTTAACGTCTTTGGATTCCATGTTCCTGAACCAGAATCATTTTGAACTGGAAGGTCCCATTTGGTGTCTTAGAATCATTTTGAACCATTTGGTGTATCTTTTCATGCGGTCTTTTGGCTGTTTACAAGCTAGGCAGACCATGCTGTGATCATTTTTTGTTTGGCTCGTAATAGATCTAGCTGCAAAAAACCAGTGCATCAAAAAAGATTTAAGAAACCTATTTTGGACTGATTTCGGGAAGTTCCAAATAGAGCTTTTCACATTTTTCTTGCTTTATTCATTCTTATGCGGAAAGAGAAGGAAAGACCCATGATAACAAACTAGCTCAAGGCTGCTCAGATCTTAATGCAAAAGTTCAATGCATCTTTTGATCGTTAGAGCTACCCATAAGACCTTTCCAAAAAAACTTGCCATACAACCCCTTGGTAATTTACCATTCAAGCTTTGCCATCGATGGTTAGAACGCAATTTGGTTCACTAATGTAGCAGTTGAGGAGGGATCAAGGTGAAAAAATGTTTTACCAACTTCACACATTTATCTGGACAAGTCTAGGATGCTGGAAAGCAGTCCAGATGAGCTGGAGACAAAATCATACACACTCGGCTGAATTGCCTATCACAGTTGAACACGCCAGTGCTCACTGTAGGCCCTATCTGGGACCCAGCTATATTGAACACTGGCGTGTTCAACCGTGATAGATAGTTCAGCCGAGTGTGTGTTTTTATCTCCAGCTAATCCGCTCCCGCGGGAAAGGACTAATACAGGAAAATTTTGACCAATCAAATTTCCACAGTGAATTTTGGTCTGTACCACCTGATTGGTTTAAAATTTTTCTGTATCGTGCTTTTTTAATATCATAATCAAATCTAGAGCTGTTAATGGGGTCAGGTCTGGTTGGATATGATAGACCCAGAACCCCTAATTATTAATGGAGACAATCAGATCTCACCCTAATAGACCCATTATACTTGAAATCCATAATTACCTATGATAATAACAATTTCAACTTTATTTTCGACAAGGGAAATTGTCTAAAACTCACCATGAATTTTCAGCATATCTATTAAATTCATCATAACTTTTCAAAATGTCAAAAACTCACCATGTCACTAATTTGACGTTAAAGAGACTGATGGGCATTAATATATTACCATTTTAACCTTTATAGAAAAATACAAAATATATACAAAATAAATTAAGGGGTGTTAATATATTACTATTTTAATATTTAAACATGAAAAATAAAAAAAGTTCAAAAAAATTCAAATATAAAATACATAAAAATTACAAAAAATATAAAAAAAATTATAGAAATTTGCAAACAAAATAAAAAATTATTTTCAAATTATAGAACCTATAGAAATTGAAAAACAAATTGTACAAAAAACACCAAAAATTATAGAAAAACACAGAAATTGTAAATAAATAACAAAAATACAGAAAAATTTATAGATTGTAGAAAATAGAAAAATGTAAAAACAGAAATTATAAAAAAACATTGAAAATTATAACAAAACATTATAAATGCAAAAAAAAAAGAAAATGGAAAACTGAAAATACCATTTTCTCTTAACTCCCCATTCAAGGGTAATTTGGTCATAAAAATTGTTATTTATGCTGACATGAACACCTCTGTTAAGAAGCATTAACGGCATGGTTTTTAAAAATGAACCGATGACCGAACCAGTCAGGGGTCCGATTACCGTTTCGAACAGTCTGACCGTTCGACTTGAACGGCCGGCCCATTCTGAAAAAAATAAAAAAACTTAAAAGATTGGAGAAAACGGTAAACCATTCAAACGGTTAACCGGCCGATTCAGCGATTTGCTGACCAAAATCAACGATTTTGGGGGAAAAGCAGTTTTAGAGGAAAACAGAACCGGTCAGCTGACCGGTTCCCGGTTTTTCCGGTCTGACTTTGAAAACCATGATTAACGATGCACTAACGGAAGGTGAATTTTGGAAAATAAAAACTTTAAGTTTTAGACATTTTGAAAAGTTTTGAGTTTAAGAGATGTTGAAAACTCATGGTGAATTTTAGACAATTTCCTTTCTGTATGACCTTAAAAAAAATGACCAGTAAAACTAAAAAGTAAAACAGTCGGCTCCTTTAAGTAAAACTGACGAAGTTTACTTTTTCCCAACCTTTATAACATGGACACAGTACAGAGATGGTTCTGACCAAATATGTGAAATTTTCTTTGCCATAATACAATACATGGACTTTATAACAATGGCTTTCACCAGGAAAAAAAAGTGACATTTTCAAAAAAGGAAGCCGATTTTAAGAAAGCGAAATTCTTAAAAAAATAGTGACAGATATTTAAATTCTGAACTTGCCAGCAAAATCAGTCGTGAAATACTGCGACAACTCCCATGTGAAAATAAAAGACGGAGATCTCTCTAGTCAAATCTCAAGACTGGGCCACATGGTTACAATTAATGGAAAGTTGAAGAGTTAAGAGTCTTAAGACTTGAGACTCCATACACCTTATATAACTACCATGCATTCAAACATTGGCCCCAGTTCAAAATTTAAAAAGCCAGAAACATTACATCAAGAGTAAAAGTTAGAAGAGATTGGAGCTTTACGTACTATAATAGCTGGCGTCCCTTCAAGAGTTCGGCATCAGTCAGGGCAAAGACCATTCGGGCAGCTTTTACTGCCTTGCATTGGGCTGTTCCTTCAAGAATTACTCAGTATACGCTGCTCCTCCCATACAAAGCATCTTCTATTACCAAACTGTCAATTAGAATTAAGATAAAGAGTGGGACAAGCACAGTGAGATCCAAGAGTAACCTGTACCATCGATTTCTTTTCATTACAACAATTCTGCATTTGAAGGTGTGCTTATGAAAAACTAGTGACCAACTTGGTACACGGCAATGGGGCATGTGATGTGATAATTGTCCAATGGGGTGGGGGTCCAAGTGAAGCAAAACGATGTGCTGAGCATTTATTCCTTCCAAAGTGCACATCAATTTTGAACCCAGGAAGAGAAGCGAATTTTGAAATTAAGAATGAAAGAATGTACTGCTCTATTATTCCTATAAAAAGCATCAGACAAATTGTACAATTTTTGACGGGTATAATAAACCAGCATGGTTTTTCTTTCTTTTTTTTTTGTCGACAACAAATCAATGATAATCCTAGAAACCTAACTACAAAAACACAGCTGCTACAGGCAACCATTGCAGCAGCTTACCACTAACAACCGAATGGCATCTCCTAAACATATATCAGTGAAGTCCATTCTCTTAGAAGAAGAAATAACACGACGAGCAGAGCAGGCATCCAGCAGTTCTTTTTTCCACTAACAAATGTTCTAGGTTCAAGCAGTTGCCTGGGCTGGCCCATCTGATCTAAAATAATCCCTTCCACGACCACCACGGCCCCTTCCCCTGCCACGACCACGCCCTGCAGAACTCAACACAGCAATGGTTACCAAATATTTCCATTCTTCAAGTAAATTGCTGCATGAGAACCAAACAGAAATATAGCAGACAAAATTGGAACTCATTTGATACCTTCACATATGCATGATTTTTTATCACTGATATTGATATATCCATGATTTTTCTTCATTAAGGCAATTCTTTAGCAAGTGATTGGTAAAATCTCTCACCACTCACCAGACCCCAGATACACCTCATCTGGCCATGAATTAGCCTTGAATTTTGAACAAGAAATTTACTATATTTTAGAGTTTTAAACAAGTCCAGTTTAAGGTTGAACCTATAAGGTTGCAACCTTTCTGTTAACAGCATTGATATTTTAACCAATTGAGTTAAATAGATGTTGAAGTATTTTCTTTCTTTAAGAATATTAATTTTCATACTCATCTTTGCTCAAGCATGCACTTCATGCTTCAGGCCCTAGAAACCCCTTTCTGCTTTAAGTTACCCTTCTCACTTCTAAAACACTCAGAATTCTATGATTCTTTAAGTTGTCAGTACAGACAAACAAAATATGGCACACCTTCCATTATTATTTTTTTTTGTGCAAAGATCAAATGATCTTGGGGGGAAGTAGATTGGAGTAGTTTCTTTTTCTAGGCAACTAAATTAGGTTCGAAGGAAATGCCATAGACAGTAAATGGTCCATTGACATGGAATCTCATTTGTTACCCCAGGAAACAAAAACAAGAAGATGAAGAGGCTGTTTGATTGTATTTGAATTGTTAGTCGACAATCAAAAGTAAAGGAGAAATAATAATCATAGCTCAATGCAAGAGATTACCACGGCTTTGCACAGATGGTGCATCAGATCCACCATATTCATTGTAACCACCTGATTCATGTTGTACATCACCACCATAACCTCTTCCACGCCCACGGAAATTGCGGCTTCTTCCACGGCCTCTTCCTCTTCCACCATATCCACGTCCACCATCCCAACCTCCATCTCCATAGTCCCCCATTCCATTGCTATTTCCTGTATACACAAGAGCATGAGATAAATAAGGGTTGCATAGCTTCACATTAAGGCTAAAGTAGAATTTCAGTAATGGACTACAATAGGAAATTGAACTAAATATTAGAAGCATAATCATTTGACCCCTAGAACTTGAAAACCATCGCAAGCCAATTTAGCATCACAAACACCACTGTAAGTGCTAATGTAAGGAAAAATTAAGGAAATCAAATTTACCATCAATTCACTGTGACAGCTGATGGCTAATGTTACTAATCAAAAAACACCCTCCTAATTTTTATCAACTTTAAATCAAGATTTGCAGCACACTGCTTTGAGTGGAGATCCATTTTCTCCTTTTTTTGGTAGATCAAGGAATATTTATATCAGCTATTAGGCACATAAACATACATATGAGCTTCGAGCCATTCAGGAGGCTCACCACCAAAAAACAGCATCCACAAAAAGCTTAGAGCAATAGTATGTGCACCAGTATTACAAGACCTAGGAATATAAACAAACTGGAAACTATCAAAATGCTTCTCCTTGAGATCCTGCATTAGCAGTTATCTGATACTTTCTCACCCTCCTATCATGGATATAACTATGCCTTAGATTTTGTAGAGGCATCTTATTATATGAAAGTGTAAAAAATCAAATATAACCACAAATTCTGATGATAATATTAATAACAAGTACTTGGGTCAAACTATTCAGCATAATCCTTCATGCATTATGTAAAACATCAGAGAACAATGGTCCATCATTACAAGTTCTGAATTGCCAAAATCTTGAAGAAGAAACATCCAAATGCTGTTTTGAAGAGATAGACAATACCTCTACCCCTACCCCTTCCTCGACCACGCCCTCTGCCCCTCATGCCAGGAGAGCCCTCTGGGTTCCATAAGATCAACGGTAAGACTTGTAAGAGACATTTTTAAAAGGAGAATTGAAAATAATGCCTTAATGCCTTACCTCCTTCATAGTCAAATTCAGTCCATGGTTTTACTTGATCAACAGGAATGGGCGGTTGATATCTGTATTAGGGAAAAAAGAAAAAGTGTCCAGAAGTTACAAGAGCAGATCATTCACCAAAAATAATGAACCACATAAGAGAAACATCAGGCCACAGCCATTATGACATTTCCAAAACGGAATAGCAGCCCAACAATAAATATGTTCTCAAACAAGTGACTACGAGTTTCCTGAAACATAAAGTCTAATTGCTAAATACCATACTTGTCAAAAAGTGCCATGTAATTAATAATATTAATTGCAAAACAAGGGCATACTTTAAAGAACATTCCAAAAGAAATGTTCAGTCTCCCCCCACCCAGGAAACAGAAAAGGAATTATTTTAGTAATGTATTCTAAAATAGCCATGTTGTTCCTCAAAAAGCTAACAAAAACCTGATCCGATTTCCCCATACATACATACACACACACACACACACACACACACACATATATATATATATATATATATATGCATGCATGCATGCAGACACATCAAAGAAACTTCTTAGATTGTCTAATTGTAAAAATTGGTTAAGATTTCAAA